CAGGTGGATGTTTATACAATGGATGGGGTTGATATACATGGTTGGAATGAAACAGGTAATGTACACAAGAAATATATTGATTACTTGATCAAGTGATGGGGAATGTAGTATCCTTCATCTCTGTTGAGGGTGGGTCCTATCTTCTTGATGTGTACTGCTTCCAAAAGTTTATGAATTTTGTAGTCTGACTGGTTCTTTTCTATGGTTTTGGTTTTTGTCCCATTTGATGGTGTGGTTAGGATGGTCTTTGATGTGGTCGGCAATGGCTGATTTAGAATCATTTTTCCTAACCGAAGCCTGGTGTTCCTTGATCCTGAGGGTGAGTGGCCTTGATGTTTCTCCAACATAGGAGTCACCGCAGTCACATTCTATGTGGTAAACCACACCTGAGGGGTCTTGCTTCTGGGACGACCTAGGTCTTCCTGTGGCCTGTAAGAGGTTCTGGATGCTGTTGCCTCTTTGGAAGGTGACGTCTATGTCAGCTTGCTGCTTCAAGAGGCGTCGGATGAGTCGTCGGATGTGATGTCGGATGTGATGTCGGATGTGATATATATTCATGTACACATTCTCTCAATTTGTTTACTCATGTATCACTTGCTTGACAACGACATTAGAATCTATGTCGAAACGTCGCCTCCACAGAATTAAAGAAGTTGTATATCCATAATACTTGTCATTATTCTTTACTATTGTATAGTATGGACAGTAACGACTGAGTAGATCGTGTTCAGCAAATGGAGCCGGTCAGTGTGGTTCATTGTATTGTAGTTCATGTGGTTCATTGTATTGTAGTTCATGTGGTTCATTGTATTGTAGTTCATGTGGTTCATTGTATTGTAGTTCAAGTGGTTCATTGTATTGTAGTTCAAGTGGTTCATTGTATTGTAGTTCATGTGGTTCATTGTATTGTAGTTCATGTGGTTCATTGTATTATAGTTCATGTGGTTCATTGTATTATAGTTCATGTGGTTCATTGTATTGTAGTTCATGTGGTTCATTGTATTGTAGTTCATGTGGTTCATTGTATTGTAGTTCATGTGGTTCATTGTATTGTAGTTCATGTGGTTCATTGTATTATAGTTCATGTGGTTCATTGTATTGTAGTTCATGTGGTTCATTGTATTATAGTTCATGTGGTTCATTGTATTGTAGTTCATGTGGTTCATTGTATTGTAGTTCATGTGGTTCATTGTATTGTAGTTCATGTGGTTCATTGTATTGTAGTTCATGTGGTTCATTGTATTGTAGTTCATGTGGTTCATTGTATTATAGTTCATGTGGTTCATTGTATTGTAGTTCATGTGGTTCATTGTATTATAGTTCATGTGGTTCATGGTATTATAGTTCATGTGGTTCATTGTATTGTAGTTCATCCTTGACACCAGTTCTAGTACCTGGTGTCATCACAGGTTTAAAGTCGTTCAGCCATGTGGTTGTCGTCAACGGTGATAGCCTTTGATGCGTTTTCGCATTTACGTCGGTAAACATGGCGTCAACAATATGGGTCATGACATTGAGATTGAACGTGCGATTTTCATGACGTCAACAATGAAGTAGGGGCCATGACATTGAGATTGAACGTGCGCGTTGCATGACGTCAACAATGAAGTAGGGGTCATGACATTGCAATTGAAAGTGCGCGTTGCATGACGTCAACAATAAAGTAGGGGTCATGACATTGAGATTGAACGTGCGCTTTGCATGACGTCAACAATAAAGTAGGGGTCATGACATTGAGACTGAACGTGCGCGTTGCATGACGTCAACAATAAAGTAGGGGTCATGACATTGAGATTGAACGTGCGCGTTGCATGACTCTCGTACTGCGTTGACAACCTTATTTCAATTCTCATAGATGGCTCAGAAGTAGGGTAGTGGAACAGTGTCACACAGGAATATCAATGCATCATTAACCACTCGGTCTATATTAGTATCATAACTTGGTCGACTGACCGTGAACTGTAGATACGTGCATTCATGCTTGACACAATATAACTTATCTGACCGCACTCGTTCACCAACACATGGTGGAGATCAATATCAGCAGTAACAACACATTCATCCCAATATTTGTGTCACATCAGGACAGACACGAGAAGTCTACCGATTTAAGAGAAACATACACGTCAAAGAGCTAAAGCTGTAAACTTCACGCGCGAGAAGAGTTATTAATGAATTGGGTTTTTTATTGGATGAACCATCTTTAATGAGAGTTGGTCAAATCCATGACATACAGATACAATTTTCTTAAAAATCTGAATCTGTTGGAGGAGTGGGATGTGACGTGCGCACGAATAAATCACATCGATAATGACACAACCGAGATTTCGATTTAATAGTTTCAAATCGACCGCCTCCGTGGTGTAGTGGATAGAGCGTCCGCCCGGAGAGCGGAAGGTCGCGGGTTCGATCCCCGACCGCGTCATACCAAAAGACGTTAAAATATGGTACTTGTTGGTCCCTGCCTGGCGCTCGGCATTAATGGGTACAACAAGGACTGTTCGGCTCGGAGTCAGTATAATGTGTCTGAGTGGGGTATTCATGCTTCACTGCGGCATGGTATGTCAGTGGGCTAGCACTATAAAACCAGCTTCAGTCTGGGCTAGTACAAGCAGCCGCACATACACATACACACGCATGCCCGTCGTCATATGAGCGAAATATTCTCAAGCACGACGTTAAACCCAATTTCACCTCACCTCACCTCACCTCACATCACCTCACCTCACCTCACCTCACCTCACCTCACCTCACCTAGTTTCAAATCCTTTTGTTTGTTTATTGGTTAACGCCTCATTCGGCAATATTCAAGCAATCTGAGCTCCTTTCACGAAGCAACCTTTCTGTAAAATCAGTCTTTCAGCTAAGGTTCAAGTGACTTACGATCAATCCAGTGGTTAAAGACATCACAATCCCGTGAGCATAGATCAACGCAACTGGGATACGATGACAAGCCTCAGCCATGTTAGCGAGCCTGACCACCAGATATCGTTTGTCACCTCTTATGACAATCATGGTTTTGTTTTGACCAATTCTAACCAGCATCTTCACAAGTTTTAAATTGGAAGGCGTAAATAAAAGGGACAAAACCCTTTCCACATTCATAAGAAATCTCTGCCAAAACAACATGTTATTCAGTTTCTATGGCGGAGATTCCATTGATTTGTCAATAGCATCAAACAAGCACCAGCAACTGTAACATACGACAATAAACAGATTGATATATGACAACTAAGATGGTGGAGAACATTTAACGGATCAAACAGCAATGGAAGTAACAGACAGACTGTAACTAACACAGCAGACGACAACAATCAGGACAAACGACAACTTCGATAGCAGACGACAGCTTATGGAATCCGGAAAGAACTAAAGCCTCACTAAGCTGTTGTGTGGGATGTGATTGGTAAATAGCACCACCATGCACGTGACAACTAATCTTATGTCCACTGGCGAAGGAATGGATTACATTCGTGAAATCTGATTGGCTAGATACGGGTGGCAGACGCCAGATAAACAGTAATGACAGTCCCCCGGGGAACCAGTTTGGAAGTTTGTACAGGGTATTGACGCTATATAATTGTTCCGATGGGGTGGAAACTGACAGAGTGGTAGCTATTCCCGAACGATTGGATGTGATATTTCAGGCAGAGGATTACATTGAAGAGGCTGGGTTGGCATTATGTAACAGATTGATTTGAACAAAATCAAAGTGAGCACGTATATCAAGAATATTTGTGGAACAAGCCAAGGGAGAAGCGTGGATATTTGAGACAGTCGCGTTCACGTTGTGATGTGTATCAAGTGAAACCAATTCCTTCGTACCTACTGTCTTGTGGAAACTAGAGAGGTTTGTTTAATGAACTTTCAATGTCTGAAAGAACAACTCAAAATAGGTTGAAGAACCTATTTTGTCAGTTCTCACATTTATGGAAATTTGCGGATAGTGGTTGCTATTGGTCAGGTAGGGCATGTTCCCCTTTTTCGCGAACACCTCTTGTCATGACTGATTTTCTGGTGTATAATCATGTATATTTATATTTGACCATAAGACACGGGGTGTTCGGAGTTTGTTGAAATGTTCCACAGATGGTTGTATAGATTTCTCTGATATAGTTCCTTGTGATTCTGCGTCCTCTACAGTACACCCAAACATTTGAGACCAAGCATTTTTTCAGTTTGGCCTGAAGAACTAAATATTTTGAATCGAACCTATGAACCTACATATCAATTATCTACAAACATATTTTGCGACAATGTATTTATGCTGGCTGACAATTTACCCTTCTTCTCAACAGTTTGAAGGATAATTATTTTTTCGAAGCTCTTCTGGTTTTAATGTAGTTTTCACAAAAAATCCCCAGCCAACAAAATACAATAAAATGGTTGGACACTCAAAGTAAACTATTTGGTCCATACAGTATCCTACTTCAGTGTTTGTCATAGTAAGAGAAGTACTCTCCCTTGTCTTGTGTTCTTTGTGGGCCGTGGGGTAGCCTAGTGGTTAAAGCGTTCGCTCGTCACGCCGAAGACCTGGGTTCGATTCCCCATATGGGTACAATGTGTGAAGCCAATTTCTTGTGTCCCCGCCGTGATATTGCTGGAATATTGCTAAAAGCGGCGTAAAACCATACTCACTCACTCTTTGTTAGATTGTTGGTTCACTCTAAATATTGGTTTCTCTTCAAAGGTTGCTTGCCTACCAGATCTGTGGTCATGGAACTCGTCCCGGAAGTGAATAATTAGAAGTGACGTCATTAGGACAACAAGGAGTACTCAACTAAGTGAACGAAGTCGATTCAGAGGATCGCGTTTTCATGTAATACAGGGGCAGTGAGGTAGCCTAGTGGTTAAAGCGTTCGCTCGTCACGCCGAAGACCCGGGTTCGAATCCCCACATGGGTACATTGTGTGAAGCCCATTTCTGATGTACCCCGCCGTGATATTGCTGGAATATTGCTAAAAGCGGTGTAAAACTTAACTCAGTCAGTCAGTCATGTAATACATCACATCAAGGAACGTTCTCGAAGATTCAGATCTCGTTCTCGGACACCAGATGATGTGTTTCATACCCAGCCGATTGGCGCACGTGGTTCCGGTTTTCTGTACACTGTTGGCAATCATCATGTCGGGCACCGGCGACGGGGGCATTACAAACGACGGGATGTGGACCAGGAACACCGTCATGGACGACCTACGCTCCACGTCAGATGTGTTGTGGGTGCACGAAGCGTGCATGTCAGACATTGCCTGTGTTGTCATGTGTCTTAGCAGCGTGGTTTGCAAAAGCGTCTTCTACAACCCAAATAACCACCAATGTCAAGGTCACAGTGTAATTGTGACGGTGTCAGACACTACGGCAGAGGTCGGCAACATTTTCTTTGCGAAAATCATACCACCAGGTAAGACACAGTAAATCCTTCGTGAAATAAGTGTGAAATAAGCATTTTAAACCAAGAAAGTATAATTCACAATTTTGAATCCTACATATTTGCTTGAACACAATTCCAGCTTTTAAGTGAGTGAGTTAGTTCAGTTTTACGCCGCACTCAGCATATTCCAGCTTTATGGCGGCGGTCTGTAAATAATCGAGTCTGGACCAGACAATCCAGTGATCAACATCATGAGCATCGATCTGTGCATTTGGGAACCGATGACATGTGTTAACCAAGCCAGCGAACCTGACCATCCGATCCCGTTAGTTGCCTCTTACGACAAGCATGGGTTACTGAAGGTCAGTATTCTAACCCGGACCTTCACGGGTCTCAAATATTAAGACATTCAGGTATCGAATCACTTTATTCACACATTTTACTATTTGTTTCTGCCAGCTCCTCCTACTACTACCACGACACCAACGCCGTATCTACACTACGCCGACACCGTGAACAACATGGCGTACGACATCTACACGAGCGGCCCCATGGGCTGGCTTGACGCCGAGGCGGAGTGTCTGAGGCGTAGCAAGAGGCTCATAAGACTGGAGACCTCGGCTAAGAGAACAGCGCTCAGAACCAAACTGGGGACCATCAATGGTAGGACGCTATCATCAGCTGTTACTTTCATTACAGAGTGTTTAGATGTTGTAAGCTGGGGACCATCAATAGTAGGACGCTGTCATCATCATTACAGAGTGTTTGGATGTTGTAAGATTTCATAATTAGAGAAAACACCTGGGCTTCTTGAACTCCCCCTCCAATGTTATTATCTCCCATATCACATATTGGTGATCACAGACGGCCTGGAGAATGAGGAAGTACCAGCCCTTACGGTGGCTATAATCCCCATGATCTTCCTGCAGTGCAATGATAGGAATGTGACATCCATCTAGGGCTCCTGCACAGTTTCGAAAATACCATTTGCGTTCAAATCCTAGTATCACGTCCTTCAGATCTTCATTTAGGGGAAAGGTTACACATTCCGGAAGCCAAACATCACATATGGTGTGACAAACTTCGTGAATGCATTTACAAACAGTGGACTTCCCAATGCCGAATAAATTTCCCACAGTTCAATATTCTGAAGTTAAAGCCATCCAGCCATCATTTCGTCAGGGTGGAGATGATGCCGAATTTTGTCTTGAGAGGATGGTTGGAACTAAAGTATATGTACTGTGCGGGTTGGTTTCCTCCGTTCTGTGACCTTCTGGTGACAAAGACATCTTGGGTAGCAGACAGTTGCTCTCATTCTCTGTTGTGAACTTGACTCGAGGATGCTGATGGTTCAGGTGCTGGGGGTGCTGTCCAGGGTCTTGCTCGAGATGCAGACTTTACTTTCCTAAAGCAGCAGATTGGTTGGAGGGGTGTGGTGGACAGGGCTCCTTCTTCTGGGTCAATCATGTAGATTTCTGTCCCTCCCCAGGTGAAGTACTTGATGTTGATGCAGGCACTGGTAAGGGGGACAATGGTGTCTACATATGCTGGGGCTCATGTCTTGTAGGCTGTCCAGGTTGGGTAGGCGGAGTACTGATAGGACGTCGTCTCGGGGAATGTTCGTGAAAAGGGCCCAACACGTCATCGCTGACAAAGCGGTTTATGTCACATATCTCCTTACAGAATGTAGGCATGTAGGATTACCCAGAGGTGCTAGACCTTTTGTCAGGTGTTTGGGGGTATTACAGAATACAGTGTCACGTGAACTTTGCCGGGTGATCTTAATGGTAGCTCTGGTGGGGAAGGAGTTTACCAGGGTGGGGAAGGAGTTGTTCAGGTGTTGGCCAGGGTGGGTAGGAGTTGACCAGGGTGGGGAAAGAGTTGATCAGGGTGGGGGGAAGGAGTTGACCAGTGTGAGGAAAAAGTTGTCCAGGGTGAGGAAGAAGTTGTCCATGGTAGGGAAGAAGTTGAGCAGGGTGAGGAAGAAGTTGTCCAGGGTGAGGAAGGAGTTGTCCAGGGCGAGAAAGAAGTTTTCCAGGGTGAGGAAGTAGTTGACCGGGGTGAAGAAGAAGTTGCCAAGGGTGAGGAAGTAGTTGGCCAGGATGAGGAAGAAGTTGTCCAGGGTGAAGATGAAGTTGCCAAGGGTGAGGAAGTAGTTGACCGGGGTGAAGAAGAAGTTGTCAAGGGTGAGGAAGAGGTTGTCCAGGGTGAGGAAGTAGTTGTCCAGGGTGAAGATGAAGTTGCCAAGGGTGAGGAAGTAGTTGGCCAGGATGAGGAAGAAGTTGTCCAGGGTGAGGAAGAAGTTGACCAGAGCGAGGAAGTAGTTGAAAATGGTGAGGAAGTAGTTGAGCAGGGTGAGGAAGTAGTTGTCCAGGGTGAGGAAGAAGTTGTTCAGGGTGAAGAAGTACTTGACCAGGGCGAGAAAGTAGTTGAAAACGATGAGGACGTAGTTGATTAGGGTGAGGAAGTAGTTGTCCAGGGTCAGGAAGAAGTTGTCCAGGGTGAGGAAGAAGTTGTCCAGGGTGAGGAAGAAGTTGTCCAGTGTGAAGAAGTAGTTGTCCAGGGCGAAGAAGAAGTTGTCCAGGGTGAGGAAGAAGTTGGCCTGGGTGAGGAAGAAGTTGCCCAGGGTGAGGAAGACGTTGTCCAGGGTGAGGAAGACGTTGTCCAGGTTGAGGAAGAAGTTGAGCAGGGTGAGGAAGAAGTTGTCCAGGGTGAGGAAGAAGTTGTCCAGGGTGAGGAAGACGTTGTCCAGGTTGAGGAAGAAGTTGAGCAGGGTGAGGAAGAAGTTGTCCAGGGTGAGGAAGACGTTGTCCAGGGTGAGGAAGTAGTTGACCAGAGTGAGGAAGAAGTTGGCCTGGGTGAGGAAGAAGTTGGCCTGGGTGAGGAAGAAGTTGCCCAGGGTGAGGAAGACGTTGTGCAGGGTGAGGAAGACGTTGTCCAGGTTGAGGAAGAAGTTGAGCAGGGTGAGGAAGAAGTTGTCCAGGGTGAGGAAGAAGTTGTCCAGGGTGAGGAAGACGTTGTCCTGGTTGAGGAAGAAGTTGAGCAGGGTGAGGAAGAAGTTGTCCAGGGTGAGGAAGACGTTGTCCAGGGTGAGGAAGTAGTTGACCAGAGTGAGGAAGAAGTTGTCCTGGGTGAGGAAGAAGTTTTCCAGGTGGGGAAGAAGTTTTCCAGGGTGAGGAAGAAGTTGTTCAGGGTGAGGAAGTAGTTGCCCAGGGTGAGGAAGAAGTTGTCCTGTGTGAGGAAGAAGTTTTCCTGGGTGAGGAAGAAGTTTTCCAGGATGAGGAAGTAGTTGACCGGGGTGAGGAAGAAGTTGTCCAGTGTGAAGAAGTAGTTGAGCAGGGTGAGGAAGAAACTGTCCAGGGTGAGGAAGAAGTTTTCAAGGGTGAGGAAGTAGTTGACCAGAGTGAGGAAGTAGTTGGGCAGGGTGAGGAAGAAGTTGTCCAGGGTGAGTAAGAAGTTGTTCAGGGTGAGGAAGTAGTTGACGAGGGCGAGGAAGTAGTTGACAATGGTGAGTCAGTAGTTGACCAGGGTGAGGAAGTAAATGTCGAGGGCGAGAAAGAAGTTGTCCATGGTGGGGAAGAAGTTGTCCAGGGTGAGGAAGAAGTTGTCTGAAGTTGTCCAGGGCGAGGAAGAAGTTGTCCAGGGTGAGGGAAGAAGTAGTTGACCAGGGTGAGGAAGAAGTTGCCCAGGGTGAGGAAGTAAAATGTCCAGGGCTAGAAAGAAGTTGTCCATGGTGGGGAAGAAGTTGTCCTGGGTGAGGAAGAAGTTGTCCAGGGTGAGGAAGTATTGTCCAGGGTGAGGAAGAAGTTGCCCAGGGTGAGGAAGAATTTGCCCAGGGTGAGGAAGAAGTTGTTCAGAGTGAGGAAGTAGTTGACCAGGGTGAGGAAGACGTTATCCAGGGTGAGAAAGTAGTTGAGGAGGGCGAGGAAGGAATTATCCAGGGTGAGGAAGGAGTTGACCAGGATGAGGAAGTAGTTGACCAGGATGAGGAAGTAGTTGACCGGGGTTAGGAAGAAGTTGTCTAGGGTGAGTAAGAAGTTGCCCAGGGTGAGGAAAAAGTTCCTTCAGGGTGAGGAATTAGTTGAGCAGGGTGAGGAAGAAGTTGACCAGGAGTTGAGCAGTGTAAAGATAGGGTTGTCCAGGATGAGGAACGTGTTGACCAGGTGTTGAGCAGGGTGAAGAAGGAGTTGACCAGGGCGGGGAAGGAGCTGAGCAGGAGTTGAGGAGGTGTTGAACAGGATGAAGATAGGGTTGTCCAGGTTGAGGAAGTTGACCAGGATGAAGATAGGGTTGTCCAGGTTGAGGAAGTTGACCAGGGTGGGGAAAGAGTTGAGCAGGGTGGGGAAGGAGTTGACCAGGACTTGAGCAAGGTGAAAATAAGGTTGTCCAGGGTGAGGAAGAAGTTGACCAGGGTGAGAAAATGGTTCTTGTCCAAGGTGGGGAAGGTGGTGACCAGGGTGAGGAAAGAGTTGAGCAGGGTGGGGAAGTGGGTCTTGTCCAGGGTTACGATGGCTTTCCCTTTGTCAGTAGGGATATAGATATCAAAAAAGTTGTAATCCATACAATTGCTCCTTTGTCATTAATGAAGACGCCTATGAACGAAGCCTTTGATATAAACTATACCCGATGTCGTACCATTTGCACATAGTTGTTTATTTATACGAGCATTTATTGCACAGTTGTTTGCTGTAAACAGTTTTATTGTTTGCCTGTTTATGTTTCAGCAACACGGGACCAGAATGTATGGGTGGCCGGATACCGCTGTTGCAATGCGGACCTCCCAACGTGGGACAGTGCAAAGCTCTACCCCAGTGATTATAACATTTACAACCATTTTATGTACCCCCTTCCCTGGAAAATCGTGACCACCGTGAACTCCTCAGACACCATCGACCTACTGACAGTAGACCTCAGCATTGATGACAAGCGGCTGTTTGTTTGTGAGGACTTGACAGGAACTGACTGAGGAACCACGTGCACGAGGGCACGTAATCGTAGAGGTACAACTGTTGTTGAATGATAATCACCACCAGCTGTATGAACGCAATTATCATGTTATGCCCCATGAGGATTCCGACACGTTGGCATTGGAAAGAAGAAAGAAAACTCAATTAAAAAACCAAACAAACATATATAACTTATGATGCATGAAAGGTCCCATCCTCGATAATCTCCAGGGTATACGTTACGATAACTCTCCACTATACCTTGGATGCATCCACGGCTTGCTATTGGCCCTATGATTTTATTACCCCCCTTGGCTGGCTTTTTATCCAATCAGGTGTCTACGCTGGGAAGTTGAGCGAACCAATCACAAATCACTTTCGTTTCCTAAATTATCTAACCGTTTAAACTGGGCAACACAATTGATGCAGAGGTACTCTGAAAGAGGTAGAAGGAATTCTTTTATTTATATTTTTGAAAGTTTCAGATCAGTCAATTTGTCTGTATTATTTCCTAAAAAATCTGAGTGGCACTGCGAAAAAACCTTCGTGACTGCGACCGCTATCTTTGTCGGCATTGGCAAGCTCGGATGTAACGGCGGCTTAGCTGATTGGCTACTGTGAGAATGCAGAGCCAGCAAAGGGAGGTAATATAATTATGGGGCCAAGCCGTGGATGCATCCAGGGTATAGTGGAGAGTGATCGTAACGTATACCCTGGAGATTATCGAGGATGAAAAGGTCCTATAGAAATATATAGCATGCAGTTGCGAACTTTCTAACCAGCTGTTATGCTCATTCAGCAATCCATGCTTGTCAGAGGCGAATAACGGGATCGGGCCGTCAGGCTCGCTGACTTGGTTGACACTGGGTTGTCTAATTGTCTAACTGTCCATGCTCAATTGTCACAAGCTGATACAAATGCTTGCCGTAAGAGGCGATAATACAGATCATTGTTTTCATGCTCGTGGTGTCAGTCATCGGATTGTCTGGTGCAGACTCTACTATTTGCACGCTGTCTTCACATACCTGAACATACTGTGGGGTGTCAAAAATAAAACAAACGAATAATTGAATTGTAAGGACATGTATGCGTCATTTAGTTTCAGAACATGTCGCAAGAACTTTAAGTTGATGTTCTGTTTATGGATTGTTATTATGAACAATAGTGGCATCAGCAAACATCAAACTGTGTGGACACGTCATGCATTTCGTCATAACTATGTGTGGACACGTCATGCATTTCGTCATAACTATGTGTGGACACGTCATGCATTTCGTCATAACTATGTGTGGACACGTCATGCATTTCGTCATAACTATGTGTGGACACGTCATGCATTTCGTCATAACTATGTGTGGACACGTCACGTCATGGACACGTCATGCATTTCGTCATAACTATGTGTGGACACGTCATGCATTTCGTCATAACACAACTCATGCATTTGTCACAACTGTGTGGACACGTCATGCATTTCGTCATAACTATGTGTGGACACGTCATGCATTTAACGTGGACATCAACTATGTGTGGACACGTCATGCATTTCGTCATAACTATGTGTGGACACGTCATGTATTTCGTCATAACTATGTGTGGACACGTCATGCATTTCGTCATAACTATGTGTGGACACGTCATGCATTTCGTCATAACTATGTGTGGACACGTCATCTATTTCGTCATAACTATGTGTGGACACGTCATGCATTTCGTCATAACTGTGTGTCGACACGTGATCCATTAGGTTATGGATTTCAAGATGATGATGCGTGTGTTATAAAGATTGTATCCGTCATGGACTTCAGCATATTTCTGTGTTGTGGGTTATGTTTTAGCATAATTTGGGTATGCCATAGATTACAACATAGATTTTAACAGTATATGTAAAAGTCACACATTTTTATGTCTTGTCCGGCATTTAAAAATAATAGCATTATTAGGTTTTGTCATGGTATTTCAGTCTTGATGTCAAATTAACACGTCACCTAATTTCAAAATAACACTGCATGTGCCTGAGTAGTAGATTTTCAAGACATTGCTGCACTGAGACTCAGTAAGAATACATGATATGGGACAGTATATAGAGAATCTCACCTGAGTGTCTTTTGATATTAAATATATCACCACGAGTTGATAAAGTTACAAATACCGAGGCTTGCCGAGGATATTTTTACTTTTATCAACTCTTCATTAGTTTTCAATGAAAAATGTACATCTCTGAACACTGTACTGCCATTAGACTTGCAGTGCAGCGATGTCATAGCATTGTGACGTCATCAAGTTCAAGACGTCATAGCATTGTCAGGGCATTGTACAAAATCTATCTCCTAGGAGATATCGTATGATCTCACAAAGCAATATCTCGTGTGGAACACAGTTTTGGATGATAAAGATGTTATATGTATAATAGGCCACGATATTTTGCGACGTCTTAAATGCCAGTAGCTACGTACATGTTCCGGTGTTGCACTGCAATAAACTATATCAGCCAGACTGTCTTCGTATCGGTGGTGCAGCTTTCTGACATTAACTCATCCCTGTCATTACAAGCATGGTAGTTAGGGCAGGATTTAGACCACTCTTTTAAACAGTTGCAATCTCAAGACCTTGCAATGGTTAATCGTAAGTTTAGAACACCAATAGAGAGCTTACCAAGACAACTCAGTATTGTACAGTAATTGTTTGGATCAGACGGTACACCTTTTGCTGAAATATTGGCTTAAGTGCCAGGAATAGTACCTGTGGTGAGTGGCCAATATCTTTCAAAAGCATCAATAACGTTACTATTGACAACAAGATCTAGGTCACGTGCCTTAATAATTTTCAAGAATTTAATCTTTTCTCGGATCCAAAGAAAACTGTAAAAAATGAATACAAAGAAAAATCTCTTTCAAAACAAAATCTTTCCTGGAGCAATTTGTTTTTCTCGGTAGTCAGGTAATGTTTGTGCTTATTGCTCTGACTGTGTCTAACAATATTTTGCTACTTGGCGATATTGTAGTCTATCGGTGTCAGTTGTACATTTTGTGTTTTCTACAGTTTAGTACAGCGTTTACATCGTAAGTAGTTTGCACTCTCTACCAAACCATGGTTTGTTTGCTTTCTTGGTTTTACCTTGTTGTTTTGGGACTATGTCACAAAGCAAGCCAAAGATTTCCAACGCCTCGTTCATAAATGAGTCAGTGAGTCTTTTACGCCGCATTTAGCAAATATTCCAGATGCGGGGGACACCAGAACTCGGCTTCACATATTGTACCCATGCGGGGAATCGTAACCAGGTCTTTAACCACGAACGCTTTAACCACTAGGCCACCTCAATCCCCGGGTTCGATTCCCCACATGATCACAATGTTTGAAGCCCATTGCTGGAATATTGCTAAAAGTGGCGTACAACCTTACTCAATCACTCACTCACTCACAAGCGTTCACAAGCAGGTGCGCGTGTTCGTCGTCTGACCTGTTTATTTTTGTGATAATGTAATCACGACATAGCGTGCTTGCAGCACTCAACAAACCCACCTGTTTGCCTGCTGTCTGTACAAAGGCGAGTCTGGTCCAAGCACTCGATTAAGTGATGGACATCAAGTGATGGACTGCTATTGTGATAACGGACCACGCCGTGGGGTAGACAGAGACGGTGACGAGCACGGGTCATCCTTGACGGCGGTCATCATTGAACACTTCATGGACCGGCCGACGCTAACATGGTGAAGGCAGATAACATGGCAGTTTATAACAGTATAGCACGAATCATTTGTTCTGATTGCTTCTGACACGAAATGTGAAGGTTTAACGAGATGAGTTTTCCTTGTCCAGTGTGGGGATGATTTCCTGTCTCCAGTACATCCAGGCTGCGTGCGTGTTGGTGTTCGACAGACGCTGATGACGCTGTATCAATGTCGAACAGATCGATCATACAGGTAGAGGCTCCAGTATAATCAGATTGTTTTCACAGAGAATATATATATTTTCGGCAGCTGCTGCCAGTCATGCCTTTTTTCGAACGATTTTTATGTTCCTTTTGCAACATTTTTTAACATGACACCTTGGGCATGCTCAGACTAATTAGCGAGAGACATTATCAAGCAGAATTGGACCGATGACATGTCTATAGAGAATAGTTACGGCTCGATCTAAGTTTCGTGAGGAGGAAAAGTATTTTTCGCTATCCTCGACTGAATATCAAACACTGTGTCCCGTAATTTGTACCATTTTAAAAAATGTATGTTAATTTTGTATGTTAATTACTGTGGAATCTGCAAATCGAAGTGACAGGTATGTATGCGTGCAAACAAGGTTACACACTATATACAATCGTCAACATGCAAATTAGCTCGTTCTCAAGTGACGCAATGTCGTCATGTTCTGGACAGCGGTTATACCACGCCTCGCCGGAAGCAGTTGTCGCTTCTTGTGGTGTAAATGTTTCGCAGGAAAACAAATACCGTCCTTTGGCGGATGTGTTATTTATTTCAAGTTCTTGAAAACCTGTGAATTATAAAACATCACATATGATAATTAATGTCTGACATTTGATATACAATTGTCTGTAAAATAATCACAATATTATTAGACCGATCTTTGTAAAAATATATAACGAATCTTTATGTATATGATTAAAGCTTTTATCACATTAATTCATTGTGCGTTTTCAGTTTATCTTTTAATATTTATTAACTGCATCAGTCAATCAATCACAAACTGTGACAGAGAAAGGTAATTATGTAATTGCTGCAACAGGGATGTTTTAGCGCGATTTGAAGATGAAGTCAATTATGTACGTGTAAAGGGATGTAACGTGTGAAGGCATGTGTTACGCCGTGTTAGTTTTACGCCGAGTTTAGCAATATTCCACCAATATCACGGCGGGGGACACCAGAAATGGGCTTCACGAGTTGTATCCATGTTGGGAATCAAACCCGGGTCCTCGGCGTGACGAGCGAACGCTTTAACCACTAGGCTGCCCCACCGCCCCTTAAATCATCAAGAGAATACACACCATCTTGGGGAAGGGTGGGTCCCTGGACCCAGTCGTCTAAGGCGGCGGAAAACCCAGAGAATTATAGAAACCATGGTTCAAATCCCAAAGTATCCCCAATATGTTTATGAACACCATAACCCTTCTGACAAATACCATCTGCGAAAATATGTTAGCAGCCACGTACTTTAAATGTAACATGCATTTAATCACTTTAAGGAATCGACATTTTAAGGAATCGACATTTTATATGTGTATCTCTTAATTTGACTTTTGTTGGAAGCCACTCAATTAGTTGAAAAGAATGAAACGCTTAGTTCCTCTGCATTTCTGTGAACATCCCCCATTTGGTCAAGTTGAAACTCTAGATTTTCATCAAAGTATTGTTCAGAGTGTTCTCTAGGTTCCGCGTGAATAGTTTGTGTGTGGTACAGGGTCATCCAACTTCTTTGTGTTTGTGTTTAAACTCGACTACATAATGTTCTATTTCTTCTCCGATTTCACAGACTGATATAAAAGGGAAACGTCAATACCCTCTTTTTATATGTGTTAATCGATCGTACGATTCCGAATGTGTCATGTGGTTAAGAATCATTAGCAAACCGTGATGTTCGCGCGTACAAATATTTCATCGATTTTATGAATCGATGTGCAATGAAGTTGAAAGTTTCAAGAAGAAATATTCATGAATGGTTTCTATTTTCATGAAGACACCTAAGCCCTCATTTGAAGGCAGGATCTATTAACCTACATTTGGCGCGAAACACAGCGGTCCGATGACGGTAATTACTGTGGTTGATGGTCTACAGTAGCTGATCCGGGGATCCCGGTATAGAATAATGGTTCCCAGCGACTTTTGCTGTTTGAAAGATGAGATCAAATGGTTTGTACGACATCGGGTTCGGTGACGTTGTATGTTACCGTGTCCCATCTGAGTGGATGGAAGATCATGCTGGATGGAAACACTGGATTGTGTGGCTAAGATTCAGTTACATACATAGAGATTATTACACGAGCAAGTGTGTCATACGACTTATACGAAACGAGTGTGAAATTTCGGGCTCTCTCTCGGGCAATGCATACTTTGCACGAGTTTCGTATAAGTCATATTACACACTTGCTCGAGCTCGAGTGTAATAATTTCTTTATTATGTACATTTGTGCAGTATCACACGGTAAGCAAGTGTGACTGCCCTGTTCATTGACGTCAAGTGCAATTGTTTAATGACGTCACAGACGACGAAATCCAGAAAAATTGGTAGGCAAAAGTGATATGTGCACATGTGATATATTTGACACTGGTTATGTTTCACCATATGGATAAATAAATCTATTTAATCGTCTTCTACTACAAGCATACATTGCAGGACATCGTTACGTTGCACAACATTTCATAAAGGAGAGTGGTTTATTGAACACATTTCAGACATGGCAACCTCCGGTGGAGTGTCTTCTACTGACAGCCAACTATCGTCTCCCAGCCACAAATGCATTTGCTGAAGAAAACAAATACCTCATTAGACATGTGCGGGGGTAGACGTGATATGTCATGAAAGCATAAACAGAAGCGAATGGGTACCCGTAAGGATGGGAAAGTAATGTGAATACAATTGTTCTTGCGCCCCACAGGGAGTGAGAATGGTTTTACGCCATGCTTACACAATGCCATTTAGAAAGTGGTCAAATGTAACATGTTATATTTGGGATTACAATTTCTCAGTTAAGTACAAATTCTAATACTTTTGTTGGGTGGAGTCCCATCCGGGATTCGAACGGAGGAGGTCGCAGTGGCTGAACGGGTTAGGCGCCTGATTTGTGTGCTGGCGATTAGGTGCCTGACTCTGAAGGTGTGGGTTCGAATCCCGGATGGGACTCAACCAAACAAAAGTACTAGAATTTGAACTTTACTAAGAAAGTGTAATCCCAAATATAACGTGGTGTTACGCCGTTTTAAGCATCTTTTACACCATTACGATGGAAGGAACAATGGGCTTCACACATTGCGTCCTTGTTGGCAATCAACACATGCCTTCGGCATGACGAGCCATGGCTTATCCACAAGGATACCCCTGCCCACCCTCCCAACAGTAAATCATTGAGTCGATGATCTTGTTTAACACCACAGTATCCGCTATATGTCCTAGAGGCTGATAGCATGAGTAACATTGCATGCGGTCTGTTTACAGTTGTGTAGACGGCGCAGAACATACTCACTGATATTTTTACAGGGGGTGAGGTTGCAGTGGTCGCTGCTGCAGCATGCGTTACATAAGTGGTTGACGCCGGTGTCGCGACCTGTCTGTTGATTGTTCTTCAATGCAGAACTCAGGGCGTCACAAACCTGTAGAACAAGCAACACTCAAAACATCAACAGAGGCAAATACTTTCGCACAGTGGGTGGACATTAACTGTATACACATGGAGTACACTATATGCTGATGATGTACTGTACAGCGTACATTTTATGCAGATGTGATGGTAATTCCTCAAAATTCTCTTTCCGCATGTATACAATAAACACAACGCGAACCGTACAGTTTATGTAAAGTCGTGCAGTCGGGTTCGAGTGGGACAAGTGGAGTGTATGCAATCTGCAGTGTACAGTTTGTGGGTCGAGCATGTGGCTGTGCTATAAGATAGATAGAGAACTTGCGCCAGTATAGAAACGTACTGTTTGAGACCTGCAGGCAAGAGCCAGTGTTCTATCTAACTCGAACTTATGCATAACCCTAATATTAAGATTTAACGGTGAAGATTGAGTAAGTGAACATGGTTTACGCCACTTTTAGCAATATTCCAGCAACATCACGGCGGGGGACACCAGAAATGGTCTGCACACATTGGACCTATGTGGGGAATCGAACCCGGGTCTTCGGCGTGACGAGCAAATGTTTTAACCATTAAGCATACCCAAACCCCCTTTAACGGTAAATAGCCTTAATGTCTCGGAAATACGAATGTACTTTATTTCAAAAAGATATCAGACGAATCAAAAACTGGGTCATTTGCCAGATAATCTTTCAGTATGTTGACTATTTTTAGAGACGATAGCGCTGTGAACCACTAACATGCGCAGTTTGTGAGTTTGGCCAAGTGCATGACACTATACCATTGTGTATGTTTTAATATGTTTGTCTATTTCGTCTTTATAATTCACTGAACCAAAATGAACAAGAACGTTGTCTGTCTGTCTGTGTGTGTGTGTGTCTGTCTGTCTGCTTGTCTGTCTGTCTGCTTCTCTAGGTGTCTGTCTGTGTGTGTGTGTGTGTGTCTGTCTGTCTGTCTGCTTGTCTGTCTGTCCCTCTGTCTGTCTGTCTGTCTGAATTAGATGCAATAATGTCATGTATGGTGGAGTGGGGTTATATTTTACTAAACAGTGTCGAAGAAATAATATACATTGTCTATATTAGTGCACACCGTTATATTACATTAATCTGTGATATTTCATTACTATGTGATATTACATTACTATGTGATATTTCATTACTATGTGATATTACATTACTATGTGATATTTAGGCAGTTGACCAAAAGTAGCCATTTCTCCTCGTTGTGAGGCCGAACATGGTCACATGATCGCCTGCGCTCAAACTGTGATTTATCAAAACCAGATTAATGGATCATCTATGCACGTGCACTCACTATTCAGTTGGAAATCAAAATATGATCCTTTAACTACCCTTGAACGTAACACTCAAATGTCAATCATAATTATAATTATTGGATCAACAATGCAGTAAATGCTTGGTATAAATCAAAATATGATCATAGGCTTCAAAAAATCGCCTTTTGCTCTTTTTTTTATGGATTTGTATTTGTTTGGGTGTAAGTTTTATCAGAATCTTTAAAACGCGTTTCGTGGAAGATTTTAAGCAAAACTGGTGATCCGATCTTGACAATAGCACAGGTTATGTTTTGTACAGAGAATTCCAAAGCTGATTAAACCATGACAAAATAACGTTTTGAAATTGCAGATTATAAATTACGTAAATATTTAGTTAAATTTAGCGCTAGATTATTAAGGTTAACTTTTAATGAAGGACGATGGTGTAACACAAATCTGAGAACATGTCCTACGTGTTACGGAGGTGTAGAAGACGAATACCATTTTACTTTCATTTGTCCTAGATATGATTAGTTACGTCGTAGATAATGAAAAAGTGACTTCATAACGAATACGTATAACTTTAAGTAACTACTTATGACAAATAACGTACATAGTTTGAAAATGCTTAGCCTATATATAACGAAGATGTAAGCTATGATAATGATAATGTTAAATACCATATTATACTTTTATATTATCATATGATAACTTTATCTACTGTAACCATCGTAACCTGTATTGTATGTTCTGAGTATATGTATACATGTATGCGGATGGGCGTGTATACATTATATGTAAATTATAATGTATGTATGAAACTGTATGTATATATATGGGCCCGATAGCCTTTGTACGGAAATTATTATTGATTGATTAGGTCATCTATGTAAGTAATCATAACTCTTAAATGAAAAACAATATTCTTGGATCAAACATGAAATAAATCCAAATGTGATCATTGAACCATTCAAGCAAATAAAGCATAGGTCCGTCTTGCGACATGCCAACTTACCACTTTACGTTGACACCCAAGGTTGATACGGAACTCGCCATTGTCGTTCAAATATTCCTCACTAAAACAGACCTGAAAGTAAACATGTCTTCATAAACTTAACAATGTTGTTATGGATGATGATTTGGGATTTTACAGAATGGTCAGACATAGCACGTACTTCCGGTTAAGAGCTCATGTATCATTTTCATAAAATAATACCAGCGGTGTTTTTGTGGCGTTCGGGAATGAGTTTAGTTACACGCCAATTTGCACACCTTTCAGGTAATTCCAAGACTGTCCGTATTTCTGAAAGAACATGACCCAGATCAGCGCCGCATATCAGTTATTGCAACAAACGACCATGGTTTATGTGCTGGCAGGTTTGGGGTTTTTACCAGATTCCGACTCCTGATCACTGGTTCCTGACACAGCTAAGGGACGTAATTCTGCAGAGGTAAGTGAAGACTGATCTGCTGTGTAGTGGGACGACCACACGCGACACAACTAGGTGACGTTTACCATGAAGACCATCACTGTGAAGACCCCATCTGACTAACACCTAGTCTCTTAAATTGAGATATTTTGCAGAAAGAAAACAGTTCATAATAATAATAAATAAAATAATAATGGAGCTCTGAGACTTTCTTCATCTAGACTTACCACATAATCTAGACTTGCATAGGCTTTCTTGGATATGTTTGTCAGGGTCTGTGCGACAGACTAGGACCCCATTTAAAATGTATTGACCAAGTGACTTGACTCTCTCCAACACAACCAAGAGTTATATTCATAATGTTTATGAAAAGGTAACGCACCATACGTTGCACCTGTTGCACTCACACGCACACGCACACACACACACACACGCACACACACACACGTTCGTGATATTTGAATGTACAGTATATACAGTATACCTCGTCAGGCTCACAGGACTTCTCGAACTCACACTGAGTTGTTTTGGTCAGGTCGTCACACACGTAGCATCTTTTTTGCATTGTTGGTGGGGGAGTTGCTGAAACAGGCGTATAGTATATACTCAGCGGAAAATGTAAAGGAACCATTCATACGAAGATACCCAGAATCCCTATAAACATAGCCATGATACCAGATGTCTCGGGTGATGGACTCTGGAAGAGTTTTCCCCACATAGTGTGAAGACAATGTCTGTTCTCACCTGCCGTGGTATTGCTGGTACATTGCCAGCAGGTGCGTACACTCACTCAGGAAATATTAAGACACGTATGTTTCACACGCCGATATATTTAGTGCCACTGTTAGAAACACTGGCAATAAATACAGCATTTATATCTAGAATAGTTCAGCTGGTGTCACCGTGTGGGGCTTACAATCAGCGCAGATGTCCTTGTTGCAGTAGTCGGTGTCGCAGCACTTGGTACACAGGTGGATCAGACGTCGTTTGTCGCGGCTGACGGACGCAGTGAGAGCGCGTTTCCCGAACTGATTCAGAATTTGGCACACCTTTGAAAGAAAATTGATAAAAAATGCAAACAATACAATATAAAAAGTTTTCCAAATGTCATCAGACATATACATGTATATCCAATTACTACTACTGAGGTGCATGCAAAATTTGATGAAAATCGGTCGAATAGTTTCTGAAATATTGACTTTTAAGTGAACATGGGGTCGGTCGGGAAAAGGCAAAATGTCCAACGTATATAAGTCTTAATTAATCTAATGAAGTCATCGAGAGTGTTCCCAATGCCGTTTTGCTATAGCGTAACCATCTACTTGTTATATATTATCGAGGCGAGAGGTGTTTTTAGCTGAATGAAACGCAGGTCTCGGCAGTCATCAACTCGCTACCGTCTCGGGGGTTGCTTTGAGCGAGCGCCGTGGACGAGTATAAGTGTGTGTGTCTCTCGGCTCGGCTATGATGATGCACGCCCAGCTGACTAGCGAGGCTACAGATGTCTGAAAGTGAATGAAACGCATCTCCCGGCAGTTCCTCCCCGGGTCGTCGTCTCGGTAATACCGAGTGAGAGCTGTGGGCGAGTCGCAGTGTGTCGCTCGGCTGGCAACGTTATGTTGATTTCCACTAAATCATAGCCCATCTCCCGGCAGTTCCTCCGGGTCGACTCACTGCCGTCTCGGTAGCAATGAGCGAGCGCTGTGGGCGAGTCGCAGTGTGTGTGTCTCGGCTGGGCTATTTACCTACAGCTCCCTGAGATGGCTGGCTACGTTATGTTGATGTCCGTGAAACAGTTTATTGTGAATCTCCTATGATTTGTTTGGTTGTCGTAATGAAGGCTTGTCGGGCCTGTTGCTTCCCTTGTTCTATGAAATTGTTTTTCTTGTCTTCGCAGATGACCGCGTTTTTAAGAGACTTAGTTCGAAGTTCTTGTTTCATTCTGTGATATTTTGCGATTTCTGATAGCACCAAACGAAACTCTTCCTTGGAGATTTTAGAGTCGGTGAGCGCGGTGGAAATATGATCGTCTATCGTGTTTAACTTCGCTTCGGCTAGAATTCTTATTTCGTTGTGTTTCAATGCTTTACGTTGCAGTCTGCGAGATATGAACTAGAGGGTTAATCCCATCAACCCTGCCATTCCGGCTGTTATTTCGATGTCTAGCACCGCGGGTGCGGCCACAATGATGGATAATAACCCGATACCTGCTACGCCTAATCCCATGCTGACTGAAACCAGAGCGCTGTCAACACCGTCCACGGAACTGACGGCCCTGTGATATTTTTTCTGTAATGCCGACCGCGTATCGCGTTCACGTTCTAGTTGTTGTTTGATCTCGCATATCTGTCGCAAACGAAACCCGTCTACGGTTTCCAGTGTTTTTGCTACTTCATCCAGGACCGGGTACAGTCCCATTCTGTATATATACTCTTTTTTATAAAATGGTATTTAATTGGTCCTCAGTCAATGTTTGCTGAATATACTTTTAGCTCATGAGGTACAAGTTTTCGTATATATAAATGGTCTCGAGTTCAATAAAATCCTTTTGAAATATCATAATATACTCATGCCAATAATGGTTGTCACCCGTGAGTATATCTAGGTTTGCGGTGGGGTTTTTCCTGGTTGCATACAAATACGACAACGTTTTTGTTGATGGCGATCATGCCAGCGTATTTCTAACCCATGCAGAAGGTTTATATCTACTCCGGGGGCATCTCCAAGAAATACTTCGATAATAAGAGTAGAACCTTGTATCACACTGATCCACGAGTCAGGCACATAAGTATATTTTAGTAAAAATAACGCTGCTTTTTTCTCATTGGGGACTAACATGTTAGCCGTTTGATCTGGTAATGGCTCTACGCTCATCCACGTTCTTCTTCCAGGATCAAACCTCCCCAGCAGTATCCCGTTATTTTTAGCGAGACGCCACCATCATTATTATCCATGATAAGATAGGGGTAGGTCAGGACCAGGTTAATAATCCATTTTAACTGAGATTCGATGATGACTTCTCGTCGTTTGTACACGTTGTCTTGTAAGCGCATGGCATACAAGGTGTTTTCCTCGCCGGGCAGATCGAATCCCCTCATGTCTCCGAGATCGGCTAGCGTTACGTTGGGATGATGATGGTTCATCTCGTTTATATATAATGTATTACGAAATGGTTTTCAATTGGTTATCGGATAATTCCTCGGACGTGCACTTCAAACCCATGAGATGTATGTTGTTGAGTAGGAAAATTTCGGTGAGCGATATCGTGTCTTCCACGGTCACGGTGACTCCCTGCAGACTGGTGTAGGCGTTAACGTTCACCCGCACGTAAACAGAGCAAACTTGGTATTGTTGTTGTTTGGCCCAGCGGAGTTTGATCCCTTTCACGATTTTGACGACGTTACGCGGAGACGGCGGTTCGCCGAGGTAGACTTGGATGTACAGCGTGGATTCGCCAGCAGATTTTCCAGGACGTTTACCACGCTGTCGAATTCCGACACCATCTGCAATCCCACGTTTTGCGTCCCGGGTTTGCTCGACAGCATGTGGGCTACTCATTGCCTCAACGTGCTGACGATCATGCTGCGTCTTTGTGTAGGGACGTAAGCCACGAGCAGCGTTCCATTGTTCATGACTTTCGTCAGGTAGTGATCTTTGTTGTCCGTGAAAACGTGGGGAGAGTCGAGCGTGATGTTGAGATTCCAGTCGATTTGGGATGGCACTAATACCCATTTGTTGTCGTCGTTGAAGATGAGAGTGTACTGCATGTTTCTGGAGACGGCCGTGATCTCGACGTTGTCCAGGTGGAACAGCCTGCCGTGGAAGGCTGGTGTTATTGTCCATTCGTCCTCGTCGTTGCGGATCAGGTTGTATCGCATATTCTTGACCGCTCCTTCGGTATCAACGTAATTGCCTAGGTCGTTGCCACCACCACCAGCGGCAGTAGAGGGCGGCAGTTCGATGCATTTGTAAATGCTGTTTTTCAGTTGCAAGGCGTAGGGTACAGTCAACTCCACGCTTGTCCCCGAGGTCGGAGATCGCTATGTTGGCGCATTTTTCTAATGCGTGTTCCTGGACCATGAGACTCTGTCATTGCCGTATGTGCAGCGTCGCGCTGAGATATCCTATACTTACGGGATTGTGTTTAACGTCTAAAACCGATATTTTCAATTCCGTGATGTTGCCTCGGATTAATTTCGTTGTACTGCCGCGACAAAAACGATTCAGTTCAAGCGAGTTGTACTTTTCCGTTTTCACCGCCACGGCTCTCAGCAGTGTGGAAGGTCGTTCGCCCTTGAGTCGTTGTCGGTCGTTGACTAAGTATTGTGGTCGATGCAAAGGATGGTTTACATTTCATGGTTCAGTTCATCGACGCGTTTCCAAAATTACCACGGGTTTTGGCCATGAATGTGAAAAACGGTACACGCTTGGTTCCTTCCACAGAACCCGATACAGTTCTGCGAGAATCAATTCAAATCACCGCGGTGGTGCGCGGACGACCTGGTGCAGCGCGGAGGCGTTGAACTATACACTCGTCGAGTGGATGCTTTCGAGTCGGCCAGTGGCCTCCGCTTCACGCAGCTCACAAGAAATCAGATGTATCCTGAAAAGAAATCAGCGCCCGGTGATTCCGCAGGACAAGGCGTGGAATGCCGTTATCAATCCATACGATCGACGTGCGTAACGAACGCGTTTGGTGCAATTGTCGAATCCGATCCGCGAGACGGCCGATTATGCCTGTCGGGTCCTAACCATCGGGTTAAGACTCCCATCGCTCTCACAACATGTATCTCATGGAAGTCAGCAAACAGGAGGTGAAAGATTAGGGTTACTAAGTTGTATCATTAAGGCAGAATCCATCTAACGAGTGGAACGACGGTTACATGGCTTTCGACGACAGCAAGCGATTACCGCTGTTTGAGGTTGGAGCAGGGACCTGGCGGACGGTTGGAAAATGTTCATGCTGGACACCCCGGTGAAAGGGTTTACTCATGTCGTGTCAGATTAAATGATCAGATTTGAACGCATGTGTGGGTCGAACGTACGACGCAAATGCTCCAGCATCGTCAGATGCAGAGACAGCTTTCGACGCATCGCAGAAATACAGTTCATGGCTAACGCCGAGGATGCCATTGCTAGACCGTTAGATCGATCGACCGAGTGCCATCGAACACTATCAAACGCACTAGAATACGCCGGTCGAAAGTCGACTCACACGTCTCGCTCGAGACTGTACATGGCCCCAGCATCATGCGATGAGGGTGAACAGAGTGGTGGGCTACAACAATGAAATCGGGCAATCACGCACCGCTGATCAAAAGTTGGGTTTGAACCAGATCGCCAATAACGCGAAGTCGAGTCGTGTCGCAGTACCTAAACGGGCATCATGGCACCGACACCGAAGTAGAAGTAGCAACTACCACAACGCCAACAACAGCAACAGCTGCCCCCGCATGTGCAGGCAAACAATCAGCGGCATGTGTCGATCGCAAAACGGAGCTGGTGGTCGGCGGAATCTCGTTGTACCGTGCCCTCATTGCATTAAAAATTCCTTAACCGCGATGTACACCACACCTCGCCATGGTGGCCACGAAAAGCCCACAGGTTTTGACCAAGACATTACGACCGTTTTGACAAAGAAGCCTAACAACCAGGGAAAACGATAAGCTGCCTAAGATGCCAGGCAGCTAGCTTTACAGCTTTGCCGGGCCAGTTTAGCCAGGGCTTCGCTGGCTAGATTTCAAATGAAGTTTTATCCAGCCTCTGAAGTCGTCGCTCGATGATGATGGGTTTGTCGGTAAGTTGTTGGTGATGTACCAACAGCACCCGCCAGCTTATAATGACCACAGGGTCGATATGATGAAGCCCAAAGCCGTGAGAATGCTGGCGATTGCCATTCCTTGTGTTCCAACAGAATTCGGATCCCCACAGCCAACGTAATGTCCTCATTCAAGACTCAGTCGAGTGGTTTCACGACGCTGTTCATTTATGCGATCGGAGGGCTTTTATATTGGAGGAAGCGGCATCCAATCTGGCCCTCTTCTCTCGT